GCCTGGACAGTAAGAACAGCTTCCCAATGCAGAGAGAGAGAAAAAAAACAAACACTTACTACAAAAAAGAAACTTCAGAATTCCCACTGGGTTAATTTGCTTTTCAGTCTTGATAATTTATTTGAAATTTCCAAGCAAGAAGATTATTTTTTTTAAATTGAGAAACCATGCAGAGATCACCGTTAGACGTGAGGGATATCCCAAATACCCTGGCTGGATCATTATACATCGTAGATAGGTATCAATATCTCACATGTACCCCCAAGATAGATAGTAACTATATCAATTTAAAAATACAAAAAAATAAAAATAAAAGAGATCGTGCTTTCAAAACTAGGATGGGGCTGAATGTGGTGGCTCACACTTACTATCTCAGCACTTTGGGAGGTCAAGGCGGGAGAACTGCTTGAGACCACGAGTTTGAGACCAGCCTGGGCAACACAGTAAGAGACCCCATCTCTACAAAAACTTAGCCTAGCGTCGTGATGTGCACCCATGGTCCCAGCTACTTGGGGCAGGGGCAGGGGCAGGGGCAGGGGCAGGGGCAGGCACAGGGGCAGGAGAATCACTTGAGCCCAAGAGTGAAAGGCTACAGTGAACCGAAATTGTGCCACTGCAGCCTGGGTTGACAGAGTGAGGCCCTGAAGAAAGAAAAGAAAAAAAAAATAAGATGGGCTATCATCTTTCTAATATCTAAGAGAGCCTAATATATCCTATACATAGTATTTAGTATTTCACTCATAGCTGGCTTTTGTAAGCTTCCTGATTCCATGTAAATATTTCTTCTTGGTACAATATATTTTATACATCTAGAAAGGTAAATAAAGCACAGCCCAGAATTTTTTGTTTGTCTGTCTGGGAGGCTCTGAAGCCTTGATTCCTTGTATCTATTCTTGAGGGTAATAAGGGACGGATTGTAATGGCAGTTTTCCATCCTGAGAGAACACAAACACAATAAGGTTATTTGTGGCCCATCTTGAGTTCACATGACCTTTATACTTAAATATTCCCCTTTCCTTCTCCTGTATTCTTTTATTATTCTTCATATCTTGCACGATTTATTGGGCACTCAGTATATGCCAGGCACTCTGCTAAACAATTCACTCACTCAGCAAATACTTATTGAATTTACTGAGTGCCTGGAGGTGTCTGAATAACAACCTTGGATATAATAACTCACTATTTGGAGTAAAGACGAATGAAGAAAAAAATAAGTAAAATACACAGTGTGTAGGTGGTGCGAGGAACTGTGGAGAAAAATCAAGCAGGAAAGGGGGATGGGACGTTTTGGAGTGGCGGTCAGGGAGCTGAACTCCTAGGAAAGATGGTCAAGGGATACCTCACTGAGGTGGCTCAGGGGAGGAGCAACCAGCCCATGTAAACGTGTTGCTTAATCTTCATAGGTTACAGACGGAGTAATGTCATGTCATCTTATAGATGATAAAGGTCACAGAATTAAGAACTGGAGGGTCTGAGACTTTCAACCCAGGTCTGTAGGACTCCAAACACCTCATTCTTAATTACCCTCCACCTGTACTGCTTTCAGATTTATCACAACTAAAGACCGAATTCTACTATGCAAGCATTTCTATAGATCAACATGAAGGGAGATACTGCAGAGACAAAAAACATTTTATAGAGAAAGGTCAAATTCTGTAACAGCTCTCCATTAGATACATTGGGAGAGAAATTCAAAGAGGTAACCCAATCTTCTTAACCTGACATTCAACAAGAATGGTAATTCTAGAGCTTACACTTTGAGACACTAAATCGGCTCAGCTCTAGGCATCCAATTGACTATGGATAGACTTTAATTTAGCCCAAATCCAACAAATGTGGAAGGCATCCCAGCTGCCCCTTTAACACATGCAAATGAACATGACACACTGGCTGGAACTAAAATTAAACCCACCTAAAATGTATCCCACACTGTGGGATGAATATTCAAACATCTGTTTGGACAAACTCATATTTCAAAAACTTTGAAAAAAAAATATGTACATATAGTTTTGGGGACTCTGTAGGGACTTGCAAGGGAGGTAGATGAGAAAACCAGCCCACAGGCTGATGAGCCAGGAGAAAGAACACCATTCTTCTCTCAGCTCAGGATACGTATGCAAAGATAAAATCTCAGTGGGAAACTAGCTCTTAAACCACATGGTGAAAAGAAATTCAGACCGTCTCATGGAGATGTCATGCCAAGCAGTCGACTGAAGTCATCAGGGAAGATTTTTGCACTAGATTCTGCTAGACTTTATTCCCCTGAGTTTAGGCCAAGCCCTTCTTAAAAGCTATATGGACCCTTTCTGGTCTTAAGTCAGTAGCTCTTAATCACTGGGCAAGTTATTAACATTCTGGGCGCTCTGTTTCCTCTCTGTGTATGAAGATAAGCTTCAAGCCTACCTTTAAGGGTGGTGCGGATCGTGTGGGTGGGGGCTGGAGAAGCACCTGGCACGGGCTGCTTGTCCTGGTTAGCCTGGGGATGGGCTGGCCGTGGAGAAGTACACACCTGGGACCCTCTGAAAAAAGTGAAGGACCCTGTCCCCAGAAATGCACCTACATATGCACCTGCGATCTTGCACACAGCTTTGGCCTCAATGCTTTCACAACATCTCAAAGTCCACGCATGGCTCCCTGGAGGTCCTTGGACCCCAGCTTGTCATCCCTTATTTTACATACAGTATTTAACAGTTAGTCAAGCTGACTTTAACCAGGACAGCATAAGGACTGAGTAGAGCTGGCTTTAGAAAAGAAATTAATGGAGGACAGGAAACATTAATCAAAGACAATCTTTTGGAGTAGAGTTACGAAAATGATGAGATTCTTAACATTATATAAGATATGTATGTTTACATATACTCATATGTATCAGATATTAACAAACACACACACCCACTTTTCCCTGGCCCTAAAAAAACTGTAAAGCTACATATTTCTTAAATATGAGCCGGAATAGGTGAACACGGCTGACTAGAACCCAAAGAAAACTGTTAAGAAAGGAAGCTCCTGGAAGTTAACTGGCACCTACACTGTCCATAAAGTTCCTTGAGAGTAGAAGAGAAAAACCCTGCTTCACTGTATGCAGTGTGTGTGAACATAGCTTCACTGGCCGTTTGTCTCTCTCCACCTCTGCCTCCTCATCAGTCTCTGAAACTCCTGCCCATGAAATTAGACCCTTGCTGGCTCTCTGGAAGCCCCATGCTATCCTGGCAGGGCTTCTGCACTTCCTTCTTCCTGGGTGTCCCCACCCAATTCACCCCTCCTGGGACCTGTCCTGACCCTCCCACCCTCCTGAGTGCCTCAAAAGCAGTCATGCAAAGTAGACTGTCCAACCGCCGGAGCTACACGACCTCACTTCCTGGTGCACCTGCCATCCCTAGCAGCTGGAATGGGGCCAGATTTTTCTGGCTGAAATTCTAGGATCCGAGCACAGAGCCTGACATATGGTAGATGTGTAATCCATATTCCATTCGCTGATGAATGAATGACTCTAAAAGTAACTTAGCAGGAAGATATACCAAGAACCCAGGAAAACAGCTGCCTTCAAAATGCAGCTCCTTATTTTTTAATAATCTGAAACAAGATGAATTCACTAAGAATTCCAATGTGAATGGCCTCCCAATCAAGGTTCTTAACAGCAAACCTTACAGGTATGGGATGACAAGGAGGATTACGAATATCACTTTCCTGATAAGTGGTGACAAACACTGTTTTTAAAATGCCTAGCAACCTCCTGAGCCGAGCTTCATAGACCCCGAAGTACCCTCCACCCTCAAGATCTCTAAAGAATAAAAAAGGGTGGGAGTGGTGGCTCACGCCTGTAATCCCAGCACTTTGGGAGGCTGAGGTGGGTGGACCACTTGAGGTCAGGAGTTTGAGACCAGCCTGACCAATATGGTGAAACCCCGTCTTTGCTAAAAATACAAAAATTAGCCAGGTGTGGTGGCAGATGCTTGTAATTCCAGATACTTGGGAGGCTGAGCCACAAGAATTGCTTGAACCCGGGAGGCAGAGGCTGCAGTGAGCCAAGATTACACCACTGTATTCCAGCCTAGGCAAAAGAGAAAGACTCTGTCTCAAAAAAAAGTAAGGAAGAGAAGAGAAGAGAAGAGAAGAGAAGAGAAGAGAAGAGAAGAGAAGAGGAGGAGGAGGAGGTCAGGAGATCAGTGGCTCATGCTTACAATTTCAGCACTTTCAGAGGCTAAGGTGGGAGGATCACTTAACGCTAGGAGTTCAAGACCAGCCTAAGCAACATGGCAAGACCTCACCTCTACCAGAAAATAAAAATAAAAATTTTTAAATAAATAAATATTATCAGGGTGTGGTGGTGAATGCCCATAGTCCTAGCTACCTAGGAGGCTGAGATGGGAGGACTGCTTGAGCCAAGAGTTTGAGGTTACAGTGAGCTATGATTGTGCCATTGCATTCCAGCCTGGGTGACACAGTGAGATCCTATCTCTAAAAATACAAAGAAAGATGTGGACAAGAGCCTTTCCTTCAGTATAGGATGTGGAGAGGTGGCGTCTGTCCCTCCTGTGTTTCTGCTCAATTTAACACCTACTGTGCTGGGTAGTTCATTTCTCCTTTCTAATCTCTAGAGCATTTCCCAGTAAGCAGGAATTTAGATTTTCTTCCTCCAAGGTTGGGAACAGTGACAAATTTTGCATTTTTGTGAATGGATCATAAAAATAACAAGTGATCAGTAAATATAAATAAAGCCAGTCATGCAACTCTCTTTCTTACTTCCATGCTCTGGCCAGAAACCCACAGCCTCTGCACACTGCCACAGGGCACCTAAAACTAGAACCGAATCTAGAACCATCCTTCCACTAACTGTGGGTGACGTTCCATTGCCATATACCTCAGGATTCTTCCTAGTTTTACAACACACATTCAATTTCCCAGAGTAATGGGGAAGTTCTGGCGTCACAGGTGAAAGCAACGTACTGGTTTCTGTGAAAGCAAATGAAGCTGCAGCGGGTGCCTGGTGGGGTACTTACTGGTCATGCCGGGTGTCAGGGATGGCTCTGTCCATTCGCAGCTTATCACTCTCCACTTGGTTGAACTTGTTGCGGGCGTAAGGGTCCTGCCCGGAGCGGACCATCGTCCCTCCAACATAACCTTCCTGGTTAAAGTCTGGCCACCGTACTTTCCCTAAAAAGAGCAGAGCAGAGGGTAGGGATGAGGGAAAATGTGATCAAGTGTTCATCACAGAGACTGCAGTAAGTGTTAAGAAATCACATCTGTGGCTTCTTCACATAGTGGCCATTTAAAAAAAAACTAGCTGAAAACAGCACAAGCAAGCATCATCCTGTCTACAAGCCAGAGAACAGGAAATTGCAGGTTTGCCGTTTACAGCGTGAAAGTTAAAGGCTTGGCGTACAGGCATCTGTCCAGTGAACAAAGTAAAATCAAAGTACCCATAACTGCGGCATTATTCGTGTTCTCTATAAAAGGAGAGACTCTCAGCTTGTCCCACCTTTCCAGGGATTATAATGTTGACATTATCTCAGGTGGGGTGAAGAAGATCGTGTATAAACTACACATAAGGTATTCCATCATGTAACATCAGGCAACACAAAAATAAATGTTTATACAAAGAATAACCCCTAAGAACAGGATATCAAAACACCCTCAGGTGAGACCTTGTCAAGGGGTCCTTTTTGCAGCTGTTGGTATGCCTGACCCCACGGGGAGAAAGTGAAGGATGTGGCTCCCAGAGGTGTCCCCACATGCACAGCAGGGGCCTGGCCATTCCTAACAGCCATATCATGTTTGTTCTCTTCCTGGAAGGAAGGCAGCGAAGGCAGCCTGCCTGTCCCCTGGCACTGGCCTGAACTCTAGAATGTGAGGCCCAAGGTTCTCCAAGAACACACCACTGCACTGAGGAGCCCCAGCCTAGGGTAGAGGCAGTGGTGGTGACCAAGGAGCGCTGAGGGGAGAGCACTGCGGGCGAGTGAAGTCGGGATGAGCCCAGGTGTAATAAAGGCAGAGCCAGAGAACTGCACGAAGGCAGGACGCTCAAACAGCAGAAGAAAGGTGGAAGGAGAGGCAGACTTGAGGCAAGGAGAACATATATGATTCTGGTCAACCTGGGTTTCCATCAAGCACCATTCACTTTGCTACCTATATGATCTTGGATATGTTATTCATTGTTTGAAATGAAGTTTCCTACAAAATAAGTAAACAGAATAACAAAAGGATCTTCATGAGGACTTAATGGCCTATGATGTTCCATTTCATAGACATGACAAACTAAAAAATCATAATAAACACCACCAACAACCCTGTTCACACGAAACTCATACATTTTCCAGTGGCTGGAACTGCCATGAAGAAACATAAGGCTGTTATGGGGGCCGGGAGCACAGGGTTCCTATTCTTTATGGGGTGGTCTGGTAAGGCCTAACAGGATGATTTTGAGCAGATAACTGAACAAAGGCAGGGTGTGGGCATGCAGCTCTCCGGGAGAATAGGGCACTGCAGTGCAAAGGTCCTAGTGTGGGCATGAGCATGCCCATTCAGGAACCAGCCAGGAGGCCAGTGTGACTAAGGAGCATGCAAGAGCCTGGCCGTCAGAGCCAACATTGGAGAGGGGAAGGCAGGGCTGCTGGCAGCTACACAGAACAGGGAAGCAAGGGGGAGACAGCTCTTCTGCAGCATGTCAACCCTTGGGTCGTGCAGTTGACCCTGAAAACATGGTATGATAATAGCATGTGTACCTCCGTATCTACTTTCCCAACAGAAATCCCTCATTACACAATTGAAGGACCACTGTGTTCCTTTCTCTATTTCAGAGATGAGGAAACTGAGAATCAGTTACATGTAATTTGTTCAAGACAGAAGAGTAAATTTTCTATCTAAAAGCTCATCTGCTTCTTGTTGCAACTGTCCTGCGAGGTCAGAACCCCCATCTCATCACAGCTGGTTGCCGTGGAAATGATGCTCAGGGGGGTCACATAAGTCTGGCCTCTCAAACAGAAAATCAGTTCCAAAACCCACGAGCCTGGCTACAGCAATGATACCATGGCCCCAATAAACAGCTGCCTGCGGAGCCGGCCAAGGTGTCAGCATTTTCTTATGCCTCAAATAAAGTGTTTCCAAAACGTTTTACTGGAAACATGTGTTCCGTGCAAAGCCCATCCTAAAAATACTGCCTTCACCCTCATGTATTTTCAAGGATGAGAAGAAAAATAACACCCACCTGTGCTCAAGAACGAGCAGCCTCGACTCCTCGCCAGTGAGTTTATCCTTTCACGGACTAATACAAAAGAGGCTTTGAAGCCTTTGTTAAAATCGAAACCAGCAGCACCTACAGCAGAATTCCAATGAGCTGGTTCTAACAAACGTGTTTCATGTCCTGAATACCCTGCACCACGGAACTTTGAACTATGGAATAAAGAACCATGACGGAGTCCCATGCACAGCCAGAGAAGAGACCACCACCTGAGAGAGGTTTCAACCTACCATGTAACTCTTACAGCCTACTTGTTTCTCACCGGCGTGATGGGGACAGCAAGGTCTGAGGACTCTGGTTGGTGTGGACCTGTGTGCAAGGAGAGCAGTGGCCATGGGACAAGGCCTCTGCAGAGCTCCTGAAGCTTCCATCCCATTTCCACCCAAACATCTTTTTGTGCTCTCACATCCCCACCGCCGTTCTGGAATTAGACCATCAGAGCAGAGGGTTTGCAAGACATCTAATGCCAATCAGTCACAGGGTGGCTCAGATCCTGGCCTGCGGTGTATGCCAGGTGACTCCACGTGAGGTGTCATGCTAGATCCTGCAGGGAGAATCAGCACACACAGGCCCGCGACCCATGCTGTGGACTTCATGTTCTAGGAGATGGAAGGAGACAGACAAGAATCAAATGACTGCACTAGGCTGGGCGTGGTGGCTCATGCCTGTAATCTCAGCACTTTAGGAGGCCAAGGCGGGTAGATCACGAGGTCAGGCATTCGAGACCAGCCTGGCCAACGTGGTGAAACCCTGTCTCTACTAAAAATACAAAAAATTAGCCGGACACGGTGGCGGGCACCTGTAATCCCAGCTACTCGGGAGGCTGAGGCAGGAGAATCGCTTGAACCTGAGAGACGGAGGTTGCAGTGAGCCCAGATCGTGCCACTGCACTCCAGCCCGGGCAACAGTGCAAGACTCCATTCTCAAAAAAAAAGAATCAAATGACCGTACTAATAAATGTATCAATAAAAACTGAGCTAAGTGCTCTGAGGGTGAGAAATGAAGCATCTAACGGAGGGATCTTATCTAGACTGGGAAACCAGGGGTGGTTTCCCTGCAGAAGGAATATTTGTGCTGAGATAGGAATCATGAGTAAAAATGAACTAGGAGAAGCCCTTAAAACCTCAGAAAAATAGTATCTTTCTTCAGTACCCAAAGACTACCATGAGCCTACTTAGCGGTACCCTGCCACACCCCCTTCCTTTGACACACGAGCATCTTCAACAGGACCCTGGTGTGGGCCCTGCCTTGCCTTGTGGCAAACTCCCCGAGACACACCGCCGTTTTACTAGAGACAGACTACCAAGAGTATTTCTTTCATAAAAGCTTAGCAGTACTGGAATACTACAGGGGCTTTCAAGTTTGCTTGACAATGACATACATTTAACACTGTGACCCAGGTGTCACAACGCAAACATACACACCCAACTGATACAAAAGTCTCACAATGCCAAACTCGCCCTCACTATATGTGATGAACAGATCTATTTTTGCTTTAGGTATCTCACGAAACTGGCTTCACCACCTAATAATGGGTCACAACCCATAATCTGAAAAACGTTAAGCTAAAGAACCATTACTAAAATTGGTTATTTCTGTACTATATACAATTGCTAGGTTGAAGCCACCCCTGGAGGCAAAGGCAGGAAAATCCACGGAGAACAAGATTTGCAGAGGGCACATGCGCCCCAGCCCAACCCCAAGCAGACAGGGACATGGCGAGAGGTAGAGAGTGGGGTATGAGTCAGAGGTTACAGAGAAACAGCCACAAAACCACCAACAAAACGTCTGAATATATTGCCTTCCTAAAAACATGACATGACATCCATACATCATCTTGTGCTTTTATCATCTCTTTAAAAATCTTCAAAAATAGTGCTGGAAATTAAAGAGCTTTAAAAAATAAAAATATATGAGGATCTCAGGAAAATGGACTTGGCTAAGCAGAAGCAGCTGATGGAAAATACTTCAAAGATATAACATTTTACATGAGGAGGCAGAAACTAGCTTCATCACCAAAGATGACAGGAAAATAAAACATACATTTAAATAACATGAGAAAGGTATTTAAATAACATGAGAAAAGAAAGACAGCATTACCCTAAGAAGGGCTGTGAAAACAGTTTGCTTATTAAATAAGGTTCTGAAAATATTTTTGATGAAATTTCTTTCCAGAAGATAGACTTCTCTTAGATACGATCTTTGAAACCAAAGAAGGAATTGTTTGACCTCACCAGCCTTGAAACCCCTGATTTGGTGAAAATGAGAAGCTCACGGCTGATTATTCTGCAGACACAACAAGTCACCTGTCTGCAACCCCACGCCGACCTACCTGGGCTGGAATGAGGACTGTACTAGTCCCAGCCAAACCCTCAGGCGGTCCCACAGACTGCCCCGCTCCCCACATGCATGGCCATGTCCTCTGAGAAGCACTCGGCCCACAAGGGTCTCGCTGTCCTGGGCTGCTGTCCTGCACACACTACTCGTATTCTCCTGGGCTGCTGGTCCTGCCCGCGCCACTCCTCATATTCTCCTGGGCTGCTGGTCCTGCACACACCACTCCATGTATTCTCCTGGGCTGCTGTCCTGCCCGTGCCACTCCTTGTATTCTCCTGGGCTGTTGTCCTGCCCCTGCCACTCCTTGTATTCTCCTGGGCTGCTGTCCTGCACACACCACTCCTCGTATTCTCCTGGGCTGCTATCCTGCCCGCACCACTCCTCGTATTCTCCTGGGCTGCTGGTCCTGCCCCTGCCACTCCTGGTATTCTCCTGGGCTGCTATCCTGCCCGCACCACTCCTCATATTGCTCCAGGCTCCCCTTCCCACCCAGGTGAAGACAGAGCTCCTCACCTCACAGACTCAGCCTCGCCCACAGTACCCCAGCATTCCACATGCACAGTCCGCAAGCACCTGTCAA